GTTTGCATTTTGTTTGAATACTTGAAGAATAGCTTTTTTTTTTTTTTTACTGAAACAAAGGTCGCCCGCCACATCGTGAGTAAGTGTACAATGTGGCACTCGCGTCGATCCAGCCTTTGCTCCCAGGTCTCCGTGCTGCCAAAAGTGGCAGGCCGTATGGGGTGACATCGGACAATGTGGCATGCACAAACGCCCACCRGGTCAAGTACAGGAAGACACGCGGACACATATCCATGCTTTCGGACAGATGGAGCGCCGCAGTGGCCAGAAGCTTACAACGTGGCACCCACCCCAACATGGGCTCGGGCACAGTTCTCCTTTGAGCGGAAAGTCAAGTACCACATCGGGCAAAAGGGGTTTCAGACGGAAGCAGCAAAACTGGAAAAAAAAAAGGAAAAAAAAAAAAAGAAGCAAGCAGCTCATCGGCCCCTATACAAGGGAGACGACTCTCTTAAGACGCGGATGACCGTCGTTCAAACATTTGAGGAGGGGTAGGGAGCCAGAAGGTGGGGAAACCTGTGGAACAAAGGGCCGAATCTCAACAGATCGTGACGACAAGGCCACTCTACTGCTTACAACACCCCGTTCCCTGTCTAAGTCGTCTGCAAAGGGTTTGACTCCCCGAGCGAAAGAAATTGCGATGAAGAGACCCGCAGGGCGTCAGTGCTCCGCCGCAAGAGGGACAACTCCGAACTTATGCTTTCGGGGCCAGACSGGCTGGCCCTATCGACAGCCTTGTGTCATCCGAGGAGGCATACGCCGTCGCTGCGAGCACAGATTCTGACTTAGAGGCGTTCAGTCATAATCCCACGCACGGTAGCTTTGCACCGCTGGCTTTTCAGCCAAGCACAATTGCCAATTGTGCTAACCAACGGTTCCTCTCTTACTGGGTTGGATTACCATTGCGACGGCGGTGCATCAGTAGGGTAAAACTAACCTGTCTCACGACGGTCTAAACCCAGCTCACGTTCCCTGTTGGTGGGTGAACAAATAAGGTCAAACCCAAACTTTTCAATTCGAATTTCGCAGTTGCCGCTCCCTTGCGACGAACATTCCCAGCGGGTTCGAAGGCCGGGGCGCCCTACTCCCCGAGGGGAGGAACCGTAACAAGGTTCGTGAGCTAGTTCAGATTGTCTGAGGTAAGCCAGTCCCACCCTCCCGAATGCACCCACCGTTGCAACCGTCCCATTTCCCAGCACTCGGATCGCCATTGCGTCGCTCAATGGCAAAAGGCCGCTGGTATCTTTCATCATAAGGCCCTATACGAGTCAGAAGAGTTGTGTAGATGTTCAGGTCGTATGGAGGAGGAATGCCAATCATGGGCAAGCCWCCTGTCGAGGACCTGATGCGTTTAGGAAACTACAACTACACAACTTTCCCCTTCCAGGACAGAAGGGGTAGGTGTGGCATACTGTGCAGCCACACGGGCCTTGCAGGGCCCGTCCCAGACCTCCAGCCTGTTTCCCTACAGGGAAACTTCCAGGCTCTTGCCTAGAAGCTTCGTTCTGGCAGGGCCTACAGGCCCCAGCCTGTTTCCCTACAGGGAAACTTCCAGGCTCTTGCCTGGAAGCTTCCTTCTGGCAGGGCCTACAGGCCCCAGCCTGCTTCCCTACAGGGAAACTTCCAGGCTCTTGCCTGGAAGCTCCCTTCTGACAGGGCCTACAGCCCCCAGCCTGTTTCCCTACAAGGAAACTTCCAGGCTCTTGCCTGGAAGCTTCCTTCTGACAGGGCCTACAGGCCCCAGTCTGTTTCCCTACAGGGAAACTTCAGGGAACTTCCAGGCTCTTGCCTGGAAGCTTCCGCAGGGTCTAGGCCARAGGAKCATTGGCACRRSCAGCCTCCTGCACGGGCCAGCACTATAAAGGACTGGCCCGCCCTGCAGAAAGCAGGTAGGCAGTTGGAGAGTAGGACGGTAGTCTTCAGATTTCGGCCACAGCACTCAGTAGGAGCGCTGCAGTAGTCTTCAGCGCTAGGCGGTAGTAGTAGCGCTAGCTGTAGTCTTCGGCGCTGGGCGCCCATAGCCATAGYTGTARTYTTCAGCGCTGGGCGCTAGTAGGTGGTAGTAGTTGCAGTGGAGGGAGATGGCTGGCGGAGGCCAGCGGTACTTACCTGTGGCGCCATAGCTCCAGCTCCATCTTCGAGGTACCTGCATCAAGGCGCCAACTTCACAGGTTAGTACTGGACAC